GCTATGCGAGGAGGACAAGTCACTTTGGTATTTCGGTTCAGAGGGGTACGGTAGAGGGATTCACCTTGGAAGGATACGCTGATGCGGACTTTGCAAGCAAGGCAGCAGACCGTAGGTCGGTATCAGGGGGGATCGTGACGTGTGGAGGAGGCGCTGTGTCTTGGTATTCTATAGCGCAGAAGTGTGTCGCGCTTTCGACCACCGAAGCAGAGTACGTCGCGCTAGGTGACGTAGTGAAGGAGATTTTGTTTTCGAGGCAGATTTGGCGTTTCATGTTGCCGCAGGTCGGCATGCCGTGCATCCCCATCTTCGAGGACAACCAGGGGGCGATTCAACTAGCGCAGAACCCCATCTCAAACTCGAACTCGAAGCACATAGATGTAAGGCACCATTTTCTCAGGGAACTGGTAGAGAGGAAGGAAATTTCGGTCATCCACGTGCCGTCGCCGTACCAGCGTGCAGACTTTCTTACGAAGACTTTGTCGAAGGATGCTTCGCGTCTCACCGTGATTTTGTGATGACTTTGGCATGAACATTTCTTATTGTTTTTCTGATGGGTTGTGTTTTGGTCTTTTTTGTTTCCCGTTTTGTTTCATTTCCCGCGCCAAGTATTTGTTACGCACGATGCAGCATTCATGTTTCTTTGAATTGTTTTTATCTCTTATATTATTCTGGGCAAGTCTTCATGGTAGTCTATATATTCTGGGAAAGACGTCTTTTGGTTGAAATATCGGGTGTCAGCGAAATTTTCAGTGAGAAACTGTTGCGAGCAGGGGGGATGTTAGATATACTCGCAACAGTATCTGATCGTGAGGATCCCAGGGGGATACGTGGTGGGAATTTCGTGTGTTGAAGGGTACCACCAGCGCAGTCATGGGGACCCTTTGGGCGTGGTCGGTGCGATGGTTAGGCTTGCGTGCGTGCTGCGCACTTCTTATTGTTCTCCCCTCTCTCTCTCCACCACCACCGTCTCTCTCCAATCAAGATTCCCTCTCCCAATCTCTCTCTAACTCTCTCTCAACCTCTTTCTCTCGGCCTAACACGGCCGACTACCCAGTGCCCCAAAGTACCGTCGAGAACGTGCTTGCTGCACCCCGCGTAGTTTACCTTTCAGCGTCCTAAAAATTCAGGGGACGATAGCTCACCATCCCCGGGGCCAATGGAGGCATGATATACCTCAAACTACGCGTCTTTTGCTAAGGAAGGGGGTGGAACGAAAAGTCAGCATCGCCGAGGCGACTGGCAACCGTTTGTTGACGTCGAACATATTTATTTGCAATACTTCAAATGAGATTTACAACAGTCGGGGACGTGTTGAAAACAACTACATACAGCACACACACCAGTTTGTTTGTACTTGGCCAACAAATGGACTGCATAGCCAGCAGCGGAAGGAGGAGGAAAGTCCAATATACATAGTCTATTATTATACTTATCTCGTTCTTCTTGTGGAACAAAAAAAACACTAGCGTACTTTTCCAGCGTCGCACCGAGGAACACCAGTACATATATATCACTGTCGTCCCGGCGGAGACCAAAAGCTTCCTGGCTGGATGGCTTTTCCTTCCACATATAAATGCATATATCGCGAAGAGTTCCCTGAACCTCCCCCCGCGGCTTGGCTCTACGGCTCTGTTGAGTTTCATGAGTAAACGAATGAACGGTCTTCGAAAGAAGGTACTGCGTCTCACGGTACTCGCCACACCCCTTCCCTTCGCGTACAAATAAATGCAGATAGCGCCCGCAGTCAAGAAGAAATCTGTTAAGAAAAAAGAAAGGCCCAAGCTTGTACGAAAAATAAGAAGAAAGGGCTAAGAAATATAGCTCCATCTCGGCCACAGCGTAAGAAACGCCCCAATAAGAAACAAACGTGATGGTGCGATACCCCCATGCCATGAAATCAGAAATCTGCGGTGCTCCCAACCCCCTCCCATGCTGAACAGAATTTAGTAGTGCATTTTTTTTTGCAGGGGGCAGAGTTCCCCCCCCCCCCGCGCCCCTGCTGTTCACAGTGAGTGAGTGCTGCACTGCTGTAGTACTGCCACACATCGCGGATAACCGTATGCTCTCCGCTATTGTAAGGGTTTGATGGCACTCTCCACCACCTCTCTTGAGGGCTTGATAATAATAATAATGTGGATCGTCCTCAGCGATCAAAAAGACAGAAAAAAGAAAATACGTGTACTCTAGACTTGTTTGTTTGTACATAGTCAAAAGGAATAAGAGAATCGGGAGGATGCGACAGTCCAAAAGGAAGAAGAAATGCCATGTTCGAGAATGGACGACCTGGGCCAGTAATTCGACCCAAAATAAGGGATTGAGGCTCGATCCAATTTCGACGTTCCTTAACTGCGGGCGCTATCTGTAGGATCGAAAGTCCTCCAAGCGAGAGATAACCTCACCCTCGGTGAGGCGCAGAGCAGAGTGTCGCAACCTGGGTGTTGCTTGCAATTTCTTCAGTTTGCCAGCTCATTTCCCACGGTTGCGACTCCCATCGTTGACCACCACCTGCCCAAAGGTAGACGAGCTCAACAATCATAGGGCGGCAACCGCCCTGACCGCCAGCATCATATAGATAGATGGCCAATCCGAAAGAGTTAGCATGTCGGATGCCCTGCTGCTCTTCTGCTGCTTGGTGCCGTGGATTGATGTTGACATGTCCGACAAAAAACAAAACATCTCGCCGCATTTTTTCCAACGGCATTATTTTGGTGAGGTGGCACACGTCTCTCACACACCTTATTGAGCAGCACCCAAGCACCCAATACCCACGAAGCAGTACGGCGCCGGGAGATGGTATCATATAGATAGACAGCCGAACCGAAGGAATCAATCAGCGCGTTGGAGGTCTTGGTACTGCTGCTGCTGTACCCGTTCTACTGTTTCCGAGTTTGCTATGTGTGATTGAAAAAAATTCCCCGGCACCAACAGCAGCAATTGAAGACGGGAACACCACGCACTGTCTAGTTCTGGACCAAAAACGGACTGAACGCCGCTTCTGCCGGTTGTCCATCTCCACAACAGACCTGGACGGACGTGAGTCTGGCAGGTCGTTCTAGCGTTCTCAGTGATGTTACAGTGCCCGCGGTGCACTTGTCCGATGCTTCTGTCAATAACACGGATCCGTGACAGTAGCAAGCCCCGAAAAATCTTGGCTCCGTCTTTTTACGTTTCCAGGGAAAAATGCCTCCTCCGTATATGTTCCGTATTTTTTTGGTCGTTAAGAACCACCCATTTCGTAGTTCGAAACGATAGGTAGGGCAGAAAAAACAACACGAGAAAAGAAGCAAGTGTGGACAACCCGGGATGGCGATCCAATTGCGCAACGCGACTACTGCCGTCGGCATCACCGACTTGAGCGCTAGACTGCAGCCCTGACAGCGGCCGCAACAGCAGCAGCAGCAGCACACCCATCCATTCATTCGTGAACCCGTTTCCCCCGACACGAACTCCAGACCACGCCGCCGCTCGGCGTATCCCAAACGCACTGTTTCACACACGCAACGGGCCACCGACCAATACCAATTCCCTCCACGATGCCCACAAAAACAAAGGGGGACCAGGCTCAGCAATCAAAAGTACGCCGGGACAGAAAGCAGACGAACCACACGACAAACGACGACAAACCCATATGGACGATATACATGTAGAGTAAATGTACCTCAAGATACACCCCCCATGAAGAGACACATTTTTTCAAGTGCACATATCTCCGCGCACAATCTGCGGGGACCCCTGATTTTCCTTTTTTAATTTTCAAGCGTTCCGTTAGCTTTCGTTTGAGCTCTTCAGTGTCCCGATCGGGTCACGCACCCACGAGATACAGCAACACGCCCTCCCACACCCGTCTCGCGATGTTTGAGCGTTACTATGGCCATTGATGCGAGGGTTGGCCCCGAGACTGCTGTGCTGAGCAAGGCGGAAGAAGATGCGGTGGAAGATGCGTTGATCTACGCTTCTCGACACTTTCTGAGTTTCGGTCGGCAGCAGCTCATGATGNGATCGGGTCACGCACCCACGAGATACAGCAACACGCCCTCCCACACCCGTCTCGCGATGTTTGAGCGTTACTATGGCCATTGATGCGAGGGTTGGCCCCGAGACTGCTGTGCTGAGCAAGGCGGAAGAAGATGCGGTGGAAGATGCGTTGATCTACGCTTCTCGACACTTTCTGAGTTTCGGTCGGCAGCAGCTCATGATGCGGTCGGCAGCAGCTCATAGATGCGGTGCGAGTGCTCTGCCTCGACGGACGCCCGGTGCCCTGGGACCCAGATAAGGGCCGGGGGCGCAGCTGGCTTGACGGCTTCATGGCGAGGCACCCGGCGTTGTCGGAGCGAAGAACTCACATCTACGAGGCAAACCGGATCAACGAAAACGATGAGCCTCGACTCAAAGATTTCTACAAGGCATGGGGAGCGTACGTCGTGGAGAACAAGCTCACAGCGGACCGCGTGCTCAACACGGATGAGACAGTTGATATCTGGCAAGGTCTGAGGCATCAATATCGACTGCTGTGCGTTCGTACGCGAGGTATCAGCAGCGCTGTGGTGTGCCACAACAAAGCGGAGTTCTGCTGTTGAAGTAAAAAAAATCATGTTTCGCCAAGTTCCCCCGCATATCTTTTTGCCGCTACTGTTGCTCGTCACAGCACACACAACGCCGCATTTGATGCTGGATTCGGTTGAGGGCTGAACGTGCAGCATTCTCTATGGACATCCAAGTAATACTCTTCAGCAGAAAGTGGGGCTCATTTACAACGAGTTGTTTTTTGCCACACACTCCGCAGACCGCGTGTGCACCCCGGTGTTGGTCCGCATGCATATGCGTTGCCCGAACGCTGCGCAATGTACAGATTCCGTACCCCGCTGTGCTGTTGTAGACACACCCTGCTCGTGAGCTGAAAGTAACCTGTCGTGGGGTACCTATTTGGGGAGACTGGACGAATCCGACAGCTGCTGCTGCTGCTGCGGGCAAAAAAAAACGGTCCCGTCGCCACTGCTATGTGGTACCCTTGTGTGGCCTCCCGCCACACGGTGCGAGCTGCGGTGTGTGTGTCCGCGGTGTTAGTTTGTAAACTAGACTAGCGCGTTTGTTTGTTTTTTGTCGTGGCGTGTGCACGCGTTGCTGTAATGTGTACACACACGTTGTTGTTTTTCCACTCGTGCACGGTGTCCGCGTGTGTTGCAGGTTCCACCCCGCAAGGAACGAAGGCGGGGAAGGCGTTCGCCTTGAAAGGCTCCAAGGTGCCGGGTACGAGGCGTGCGAACTCGAGGGAAAACACCACGATCGTCTCCACCATCGGCGCCGACGGCCACACCTACGACCCCACCATTATCTGCAAAGGACAGCGCATGCAACCGGATTGGGTCGCCGACGACAACGGCATCCCCGGTGCGAGGTACACCGTCACGGAGTCTTCCTTGATCCAGAGCGACGTCTTCCTCAGCTACCTTCGGAACCTCCGCGAACAGCTCACGCTCGTGGCTTGCAGGGCAAAGTTGCCCTTGTGCTTGATGGCCACGCCTCGCACACGACCTTCGAAGCCATCTCCTTGGCGATTTCTCTGGACATCGACCTCTTTCAGCTGCCGTCCCACCCATCGCACATGACCCAGCCCTTGGACGTCGGCACGCTCGGAACCTTCAAGAAGCAGATGACAAAGGTGCTCAATGCCTACCCGCTTCAAAACGGAGGGAGGAGTCCGGGGAAGCGTGACATGGCTGGTGTGATTGCGCAGGCATGGGCCGGAAGTTTTACACCTTTGAACAACAGCTCGTCATTCAGAGGGGTGGGCCTATGGCCGGTGGACATGGAAAAGGCACTCGGTCGGCTACACAGCACGAGGAAACAGTCGGCGTCTGACCGCCCGATCCCGGAGGACCTCGCTATCGTAACCTCCAAGGAGAAGCTGGAAGCACACCTCGGTCCTGACGCCCTGAAGGAGTTGAAGGAACGTGGGTACATGATCGAGGGGTTCCGTGTCAACACCGTGCTGCTCGACGGGCTCTTCCACCTCCGCAAGCGCTCTAAGAAAATTGCGACAGTACGGACGGGCGCGGTGGTCAAGGATGGCGGTGTTATGACCCGCCAAGAAGTATTGGAGATCTACGAGAAGCTCGACCACGAGAAAAAGGCAGCTGAGAAAAAAAAGGAGGTCAATCGGCAGAAGCGCGCGGAAAGGAAGGCAGCGAAGGAGGCCGACCGCGCGAACGGTGGAGGTCGTGGGCTGCGGGACACGGACGGCGGTCGGGGGGGGCGGTGGTGCGCATCAGGGAGGCGAGAGGGCCGTACCTCCGGACAGGGCGGCTGGGGCCGCCCTGCTGGTGCTCGCGGGGAAGGGAGGGGAGCGGGAGGGCGCGAGGGGGGCGTGTGGGGGGGATAGTCGCGTCAAAGGAGAACCGGGACGGCCAAGAGGGGCGACGGTTCCCTTGCGTCAGTCGCCGGCGGCGGCGGCCCCCGTTTCCTCCCGAGGACAGCAACGGACCCCGACACCAATCGTTGATGCTTAGACTAGAATGCACATAAAGAGGCGTCAAATGACCTCCAGACGCCATTTCTTTTTTCTTGCAGTAAATATTCTGTACGTAGTGGAAGCTCGGAAGTGGTTTGTAGGCTATTGAGAGGTGGTTCCACCACCGGAGGTCGGGGGGGGCGGGGGGGGATGCCTTGATTTTGCGGCGAAAGCGGGGATATGGTAGTTTTGTCCCCTGGCATGCATGATTTTTTTTTTCATTTATGATTTCCCTCGTTGTAGAACACACCTGGCCACCAAATGGTGTCTTGTGGGAGTGTAAAGCGAAGGAGAGACATTCGGAACAAAGATTGGGGTTCAAGGGGAGAATTCGCCGTAATGGCCTGGGAAAGGTATGCCTGTTGTTAACAGGCAAAACACCCTCTCCATAACGATTTTCGCTCTAAATAGTTTTTTTTGTAGAGTCGACATATGATCAGAATGGACCCATCATGCATGAAACTCGTAGTTTTGGTTCTCCTCAAGTTCACAGCACCCGCTGTGCAGTCAGAACAGGGTTATTTCATCCCCGAGAAATGCGACGTTCGTGGCCCCTGGCTGGATCGATCCCAATTTTTTTTTTTGCTGCATGGACATGAGTTCAAGCCAAGCGTGCACGAAAAAAGTCAGGTCTTGGAACGCTTTAGATCTCGCGCAATTACCACATCTGGGAAGTGTCTCTTACCGGGGGCGGGGGTGTTTTCAACCGTATTATCCCGGAAAAATTAGGGGTATTACAGGAGCCATATCTTCCCAGCACTTGCAATTTTTTTTTTTGTAGGTAGCCTGTGATGTTAGCTATCGTACGGTACCTCGACATCATCAATGATATTCGTCCCAATAGTCAAGAACGACCTGTTTGAGCGGAGGGAAGCTTGAATGTCTCTTAATTGGTACATTTACTCTCCCACCATTGGACTCTGTCGGCTCCCCCTCTGGCCCCCATCCTCCACTTCTACTAGCTAGACGACCCAACCGGGGCCACACAGGAGGGGGGGATTGGACCCCCTCCTGCGGGTTCTGCCTGAGATATTTTTATCTCGAGAAGGGTACATCAATCCCTTCCCTCGCGACTTGTGAAGTCGGTCGAGTTTACTAACAACGAGCTTTGCAGCGCGTCGCTTCCAACGCAGACACGTAGACCAGGATTTCATTAGTGAGAAAAAGAACCCTTCCACTCTGCCGGGACCCGAAACCACGACCTCGCCCTCAGCAGGGTGCGAGGTTACCCACTAGACCACCGGTGAAAACGTGTCAGGTTCGAAAAGTAAGCCAAAATCTCTTCAGTTACGATGTCAAAATCTTTGTTGCTACTGGTGGCCGTGAAGATGCACTATGATTGCGGAATCTCGGTTTTCTGAGAGTGGGAATGAAAGTCCACCGGGGGAGAAGGGGTTCTTCGCCCAAGTCAGGGAATCAACTTTAACTCTGCCCGTAAGCCCAGATGTTTGTCAAAATTTAAAAGGTCATCACCGTCGACCATTCAGAGGAGCTCGATATTTGTCATAGATGTTTGATTTTTCGAGTGAACGTGGTTATGGCTCACCAAGCGTTCTGTGCTACGCAGCGACTTTTACTGTTGCAATTGCACACGGAGACCAAATAGCACACGAACAAAGGGAATTAGAAAATCGTTGGAACTTGCGGTGCCTATAATAGCTGAAATAATGTGGTTTCGACACAGTCCTATCAGTCGCCGTCTCTCGGGGCACTTCTCTGTCCACAACCCACTACGGTCCTACAATTTCACAGTACCTCTCTCCACCGTGGAGCTCTGATTACTTCCACAAAGTACAAAAAAAAATCATGGGGCAGCATTGTGGCACCTTCCCTCAAGCGCTTTGCTGCAAGCACAGTAATCTCTGTGAGGGTTGCCAATGAACGCCGGCCCACGGTACTCAAAAACACAAGATGATGGGCGCGACACCGGCGACAGAGAGCGAGCGAGCAAAGCACCGCACAACGCTACAACAACAACAACCACGGCAACTCACGCGAAGGCCAGCGTGAAAAAACTCGCGAAAATAATGCTGATTCCGCGTCGTGCAGGCAACAATCCTCCGACGTCAACCATTCCTCCGTGCACACAAGACTTCGGAATGAACTCCACAGAAAACATCCAACCATTTGCGCGTACAAACCCCCCCCTCACACCCCCAAGGCGAGATACGGCCAATCTCTCCCTAAAATCCACGTGCCCCGCTGTACGATCGTGACCATTGGACCGTCCTCACCCGCGAACAAAATGCAGCAGTCTCTTGCGAGATCCCCCCAGAGGTGGGGGTAGACTTAGGTGACCATGTCGCAACTGTTTCGCCGAAGCGAGACAGGTTGGATGGTAAAAGTACAGCCGCCGTGACGCAAGCTGTGATCTCTCCCTTGTCTGCGTTCGAACGCAAATGCCGTCAACACCAAGTATCTTGGAAATAAGACCAATCGCCAAAATAAATACGGAATACACAACGACAGAAACAAAGATGTGCTCCGCGCGACAGTCACTCGGCCTTCTGCAACCAACCGCACCCACTTTCATCTCACGTGGGACCGTGCACCGGAGACAAAAACAGATTTGACGTCATGCATCATTCCCAGTCGTAGTCGGCCCGTTTCAGCGTCTCGGTCTCTCCCAACTCCCACACATGAAGCAAGCATCCAAAAACAAGAAACCAGCCTGTTCTCGTTGACTGTAACGGAGATTTGTGCGGTGATCGTGCGTGACGGAATGTGACCCCGATCCCCGCACACCTGCTGTCGCATCGGCGAAACACCTTGAATATTTCTCCCCCCCAACACGGGCGGCCCACCTTTGCTCCAAAACCTCTCCTGGTGATGTACACGTGCACGCTTGTCGTCTTCTCTCGGATTGCTACGCGTAGGCGTGCATGCATGCCGGGAAATAAATACGACTAAGGGCATGAGGATACCGGATAGATCATATCCTTAAGCGCCGAGATACGGGTGGGTAGTTGCAAACAACGCAAGCAAATCGAGTCATCGAGTTGAGGCTATGTGACAACAAGACCGAGACAAGACGGACGACTCCATCCGGCCGATCACACAGCACCACGGTACGCGTACTACGGTACCACAGTGCAGCAGTACGTTTTACGTCCGGAATATTACGAAAAACGGCGTCGTGTTCATCTAGCGATGGGATGGTACGCATCCCATCCCCCCCCCCACCCATGGTCACGCAGCACAAGCAACATCAAACCCGGCGTTTTCGCGCTCAGGTAGAGGTATGTACTAGGTGGATTTGTTCCTGGCCACAAGATTTCACTGAGGAATTCCGGCGCAACCCTCCCCCGCCCACCGCAGGGCCTAAAAAAGAAACACAGCAAAAAGCACAAGTCATACAACAACGACAGGGCACTCAACCGAAAATCCACAGCTCAGTCAATATTATCACATCTATAGGCACGACAAAGACGAAAATCGTCGCACGACAAGTGCACTCCCTGACCTCACGGCTCCGTCTCAACAAAAAGGGGGTGGTGAATGCCGACAGCAACATCAAGTCCCTCTCGAGCGCACTCAAACCAATCCATATCGTCGTGCAAGACGGCATGTCTTGGAGCGTCCTAACTCGTGTGAGCCAGACAGACAGCCTGCACATTCACACGAGGTTCAACGTTCCCGCTTAGGCCGTGGGGCGGATGCGGATCGACGTCCAAGCCGAGCCACAAACGTCCTGCCCCCCGATTAGACGGGCAGCCGGACATGGCCGGCTTCGCTAGGATCTGCTGCTGGTGCTGCTTGTCGTGGAGTCAGGCGCGGAACTGCCCACGAGGTGCCACCACGGAACCATCCACCAGTTGAAGGACGCCCACACAGAGTAAGACTGGTGGTCGATGTTCTCGTACGAAGAGTTACCCCACTCGATGAAGGCCACCTCCACCCACCGTTCTCGCATGTTGTGCGCGACCTACTCGGTAGAGTGTGTAGTGGGCGGGGGCAGCCGGCGGCGTAATCAGCGGCGGAATCGAGCTAGGTCCATGGCGGCGTATCATGCGAGGCTAGGCTGTGTTACTCTGATAATGATGCGATCGACCTCTATGGGGCACTTCCCAAACTTGATCCATCGTCGAGCCAACGAAACGCGGGCAACGGCAGGCCAACAACACACCGCTAGAGCGAGCGAGAGAGAAGCACGTTCTCAAGAAACGCGCGACGCAGATGTCAACGACGTGTCGTCGATCGCGGGGAGGCACGACACCAGCAAGCCCAACCAACACAAGCAAGCGTACAAACCAGCAACAGAAAACACCACCATCACCATCACGGGAAAGGCTTACGTCCGGGAGGTCGTAGATAAGGTTGTGCTCTTCCCGCGGGTCCGCTTCCAAGTCGAAGAGGTAGTCTGTGGAGTTGTAGCTCGTGCAGCCCTGGCCGCAGTCGGAGCAGGGGCTGCCGTCGCAAGCGAGGGTGAGATTCGTCAGGGGGTCCTCCGCGAGGATGTGCTTATCGAAGGTGTACCACCCGGTGCACCACACGTTCGCCAGGTACTTGTACTTGCCGGATCGGAACGCTCCCTGGGCAAGGTTGAACTCCGGGTCACCAATCCTGTTAGATTTAACATTAGCAACGTGTGACAAAAATAAGCGGCGGGTTGGAGGGTCAACAAGAAACGAGTAGCTAATGGGTCTTGTGCTTGTACACAAGGCAGGGACTTCGCTCATTCAATTACTCCATATGCTCTCTCGATTGTGTTAAGCATGTAAACCATGGCGAAAAGACGAACACGCACAACTTGGCACAGGCGTCCGTCCATCTCATCAGTCCGAGAAACGAGCACCCACAAAACACGGCAACTGTTGTACCCTGAGCAAACGTGCGGATCAGAAGGGTCGACGATACAGAGGACAGGACTCAGGGTTTAACGCCAACAACAACGAAACGAATAACACAGCCGGAGCGGACTTATCGCCACGCGCGTCTTTCGCAAGGAAAGGACAAAGAGAACAAAACCTAGACTATGCATGCACAAAAAAAAAAACTCACGACTCTGAGCTGTCAATCCAAAGGATGTACGGGTCGAAGTTGTACACCATCTCGTCCCTTGCGCTGCCGAACTCTGCCTCAGCAGCCACGCTCGTGATCAACGGCCACTGGTCCACCCCGTCAAAGGGGCCGGCACTGATCGATCCATCCATCCATCCATCCATCACCGCGATTGGTTATTCAAGTGCGAATCGTGCGGAGGTTTCGCAAGTAGCAAAGACCACAGCAGGGAGGGGAAGGGGGAGGGGTGTGTGGTTGGGGAGAGTTCAGCCGCGCATCTTGGCCAAGGGAAGAAGCAAAGGGTTAAAATATGAAGTAAGGGAGCCCGTGACTGCTCCAAACCGAAAACACATTTGAGACTTTCGGCCCGTCGGACACAGCATGCCAGAAAACAAAAAAAAAACAAGCGCAAGCCGGTTCAGAAAAAACTTTTCACGGCACCGTTAAACTGCAAACTACTGACGCCCGCCAGGCAAGCGCATGTTTCGAGGTTGCGCCGCCGCGAACACCGTGTAAAGGCACCGGACGCTACCGCTGTGGAGGTTAGGAGCTTCATACGCACCCTCCATCGAGATCGAGTTCCGCAGCGCCGGCGATGGTCGGCAGCCAATCAGTGACGTGCATGAGCCCGTCGTACTCGGTCCCCCATCTCTCTTCTGGAATGTGGCTCTTGGAGTACACGAACGAGGGAACCTAAAAAAAAAAAAGAAAAACGTGGAGAGTTCAGTAAAGCAGTATGCCATCATACGAACAAACTTGAATACAGCCGCAGAAAGAAAAAAAACACAAGACGTCGATCGACAGAGACACGAACTTGAGAAAAACTGTTTAACCACAGCTTACAGCGGAACCGCCGAACTGTCCAACTGTCTAGCTGTCGAGGCTTCCCACAGCACCATAACCTCTTCACCACAGCACTAGCGGGAGCACTGTCATTACCTTGGTGCCACCCTCCCAGTACGAGTGCTTGATCCCGCGGAGGGGGTAGTTGCTTCCGCCGCAGCTCGGGCAGCCCCCGTTGTCGCTGGCCAGGACGATGATCGAGTTCTCCATCCAACCATTTGTTTCGAGGTACTCGACCAGTTCTCCGATCGTGTAGTCCAGGTACATGAGCACCTGGTCACCACAGCAGCAGCAGCAGCACGTGTTGTCAAACAAAAATAATGTGGAGAATGAGAGAGGGACAACAGTCAACGCAAGAAAATTTAGAAAAACTGGATTCCACGCCCCGCGTCAATCCCGGCCGGTAGGCGAAATCACTATACACTATACACTCCATACACTGTACACTGTATATACTGTATACACTCTACACTCTATACACTCTATACAATATACACTCCATACACTATACACTATACTCTAGGTACACGATAAAACCCAACACCAGCGCAAGTCTTCGCCAAAGGTCGGTTCCAGCAACGTTGATCGTACGTATGTGTGGTTGAGATAAAATTCGCCCAAACGGCACGAGTGGTGCCGCGTTTTCGTTACCTTGGCGAAGCGCGCTCGCAGGGTCCCGGTGCCTTCTTCGCTGCCCGTTTCGATCCTCTCGAGAAGATCAAGCTGGTCCTGAGTAAAGTGCTCGGCGGGAGGCAGGCCCAGCGGGTCATGCACAGCTTGGTGGGACAGGTACATGTAGAGAGGCTCGTCGTCGTATGGCGTTTTCTCGTGAAGGATCTGTGTGCATTTGTGGCGTCAGAAGCGGAGGGAGGGAAGAAGGGCCGGAACACGGTGAAGGGCGTTGGGGGGGGGGTACGCGGTTCGTGTTTTGTACAAGGTCGGACGGACGGAGGGGGCACCGTCAATCGTTGTTCAGCCAGGGATCGATCGAACAGTAGCCTTCGAGGGCATTTCGTTTAAGAACACTCATGGATGAAGCATGCAATGTAATCGGAGAGTTTGGGTGAAAGTTACGGCTGGGGATCTGCACATCACCGCAATCGCCATCATCCAGACGTCCTCTGCTGCTGCTGCGTGTCAGACTCACGACTCACTTCAAGGGCCCTGTTGTGGAAGACTTGCGTCGAGTAGAGACCCTTGAAGAATCCCCCAGAGCTTGAATAGCTAGATGTAGGGCTGAGCATGGTTTCGTCATCGTCACCTGATATGCCGGGTTCCGAGAAGGTCGGTTGGGTCGGCAAGGGATGTGGTGTAGACATGCGTACTGCCGTTATGAGCCAGACAGAGCCTGCGGGCGTCAACAAGGACGGCGTGGACCGCATGGCTACACGGCTACAAGCAGAATTTGGACGCCAGTAAGTCGGGTACGTACGCTAGCGTTACACACGTCATTGTGGTGGGGCCACCCGCCCACGGGCCCCCAGCCATGACCTTGTGGAAGCGTGTTGCTGTTTCAGCCGATTTGCGTGCCTGACGTCGGTCGGACAGCTCGGGCGATGCCGATGCCAGCACACCATTCGAAAAATACCCGCTTCCGCCCCACTACGTACCAAGAATCCAAGATTTTCGTGTTCATCAAGCCGCCGCCCTCCAAGCGCGGCCGAAGCAAAACTTGACGCAACGTCAATGTATCCCACAAAACACTACAAAGGAGGCGTCGAAGCTCACGTCCTGACATCACCGCACTGTTCCCAACCACGCACAAATTTAGAGGTGATGATCACACAACTTTGCTTACCATCGCTAACCGTGCCATCCCTGAGGTGATCCGGGAGTTCTCTGTCGATGATGTCGTAGTAGCCGGTAGCGTTTCCGAACCCGAAATCGAAGAACTTTCGTCCGTTGTACTTGGCGGTCCAGCTCTGTAGATTTCCCGCGAAACACGCGAAGAAGGGAGGAGGCGTCAGGGTCCTGCGCTAACGAAACTCGAAGCGAGCGTTTTCGTCGCCGGTGTCACCGGACAAAATCTCCAGACGAGAAGACGGCAAGAAAATAAGGGAAATGGCCTGCCGAGTAGCGCCACATGCACATACCCCCATCAACAATAAATATTGTCCGCGGAGTCCCCCCGTCACCTGGTGCGTCCAGTACATCTCTTCATCGTTCAGGTACCCTAAGTACGTGTCGAAACCTCTCTGGCTGGGGATGTGTTTCGTGGTGTAACTGCCGATGTGCCACTTTCCGATCATGTGCGTCTCGTAACCCGCGTCCTTCATGTACTCGGGGAAGATCTGTCCGACAAAAAATAAACAGGTCGGGGGGGGAATGGTAGGTAAAATGAAACATCGTCAGAATATTCTCTTCGCTGTGATGCGTGGGTGGGGTGAATGCTGCTGTTGTAAGAGCTGTTTGTTGCGCGCCGAGAGGCTCGGCGTTCACATTCAAAAGCACGTGCTTGCCACCACTGGGGACAACTCAAGTCAAGGGCAAGAGGAACACGTCGCATCGGCCGGCCCTCTTGTCTCTTGCCTCCAACAACTCATGTCGATTCGCACAGACATGCGTGCCAGCACTCCTTTCTCGCTGCCTCTCAAGCTACATACATAGGCCTCACGCCGTCAACAGAGCACGGCTCCCGTCTCACCTTCTCCGTGAGAGGGAGACCCCATGGTGCCCCCGGTTGGATCACGCTGTACTGAAGACCGTATCGAAACACGTAACGCCCGGTCATGAGACTCGCTCGCGCTGGCGTGCAAATAGGCAAGGTGTAGTAGTTCGTCATCTGGAAAAAAAACAAACGAACGAACAACCGCAGAGAAGAGCAAAAAAAACGGTTGGGTTGGGTTACAGCGAGCAATTCTTGCGTGCTTCACTCAAAAGGTGAACAAGAGCTTAGCTCACGCTCGGTCAGCCCGTTGAATGAACCTAGACACGCGGTACCAAAAAAATCACTAGTGCCAACCTCTTCTCTGAAAAGTGACGTGTGCGTTCCTAGCGCTGTGTCCATACAGCAGGGTTGGTCTTGGGGGCGGGGTGCGACAATTCCCTCCTGAGCTAGCAAAACGTCGTGCGGAGGCCTGCAACGCCGCCTGCAAGACGTGAAACCTCCTCGAGCCAGATTTTTGGGCAAAGAGGATCAGAACAACAACTCACACAGCCGTCAACAGCAGCAGCAGCAGCAGCAACAAAACGACAACAGCAGCAGCACGAGGCGCACGTGACATACCTTAACTCCGCCCGCGGCAAGCCTGTCAAGGTGCGGCGTGACCCCCTGCAGGTCCACGCTCTGGTAGCCGATGTCGTTCCACCCCATGTCGTCGACCATGATGAAGAACACGTTCGGCTTCGCGGTCTCGGCCTGGGGATTTGGTTCCCCACCCTTCCCTTCCGGCTCCTCCTCCTCATCTACTTGAATATCTACTGGTTCTGCCGGAGGGGGAGGACATGTCGCGGGGTGGGAAGGGGGGTTGAGTCCGGATTGGGGTTGCTAGCTCTTATGGCAAGGCATAGAGAATTATTAAAATAAATAATCGTACGTAGGACATCGATGAACAACGTCGAGCAACAACCATCTGCAAGCCAAAAGGTAAGCCAAAAGGTAAGCCAAAAGGCAAGCCAAAAGGCAAGCCAAAAGGCAAGCCAAGAGGTAAGCCAAAAGGTAAGCCAAAATGTATGTGTTTTGCCGGGGAACCGCTACGAGCACGAACTGCTATTGTAGATAATGCATTATCGTATGTGGGGCGAGATCAGTCGTCTTCTCCCCGCGCGTGGGTGTTTACTGTTTACACCTCGAAAATACCATTCATGGGGGGATAAGACGGTGCCTACCATACCATGAGCACGCCACCCGTTCTACTAAGAGACGTGAATACAGAACGACTTTTTATGCAGCCAGTCCCTCCGCACTACTGCTGTGACGTCACGGATTGTATGTAGAGGTGAGTACAAAAGCACACAAACTTCCAACGTGTTTTGCGTCGAAAACAGCAAGCGCACACCCCTAGATCTAACCAATCAGAGCCACCCAGACAGCTACAAGACCACAGGAGAAAGGAGATGGGGGCAGCATGCGTGACACGCGAGAGTCTGAGGTGTGGTCTGACCCCCCCAAGTCTATCACGGATTCGACACATGCCGAAAAAAAAATCGAAACCGCTCGATTGCGTAGACTAAATTGGTGCCGCCGGAGGGCGAGGTGGGGCTCTCGATTCTTTTCCGGCGATGTGTTGAAGCCAGAATGAATCACGGCTGAGCTCCAGCTATTAGAAGCACGTCGGCATGTACGTAGTTAGCGGTTGGTGTCGGTCCATTCCCGCAACTACATGTCGGACTTTCCACGTGCGTATGTACGCCCAACAAAATAGTAACGTTCGGAAGAACCGTCGTGCATCCATGATACACCAACACTAGGTAACATTTTAACACGCAAACACAAAGGGTGCTTGAGTTAGCTAATTCAAGTCCTTGGTGGGGGGGCAGGCAGGCAGGAAGGGTCTGGTGCTTTGCAGCTAACCCCGGCTTTGCTCGATAGTAACTCGAGCAGCGTGAGGGGAGAACTACACTAAATAATGCACGCGGACAAACCATCGCACGGTAGATTGCAGATGCAGGGTAATTGTCGTACTTCACGGGACATTGATAGTTTGGCATGCTTCAACTGCTGTAAAGTTGTACACGTAGCACCCTGCCCCTATTACGGAGACAGGCGCTCGTGTAGATGAATCGTTCAAGTACCAGCCAGAGGGCCACGACGGCAACTGGTTCCTGCGGTTCCTGTCGCACCCTTCACCGGTACCGGTATGAATGAAAGTGCCCCATGCATCATTGCGTTGTGGTCGGCGTGAGGAAGTAAAAGATGGAACATCATTTGCATACGTGAAGGTGTAAAGGTCATCGCAAAAACCGAAAGCGGTTGCTAAATTATATGAACACGTGGGAGGGTGTTTGAGGTCTTCAAGGCCGACAGGGTAGTAGTGTAGACAAGACAAACCGTGCTACACCATGCCATGTATGCATATGCTACACGAGAACAGATCGGTCGTGCAGCAGTAGTCGAGAGCTTTGGTTACTCGCATGTAATTACATGTTTGGTCTGATGTCGCGCCGATGCAGCGCAACCGTGCCTACCCACTTGTAGACAGACGGCGGCAAGTCTAGAGTAGGTTACAAAATAACGGCAGGGTGCCGGGTGTGCCATCACTTCTTGCACTTTATTATTTACGACATGGCATGGGTAACAATGTTCGCTACTTAAGTACAGACTCTCACAGCAGGCGGGAGAGACCGCAGCTATACAAGTAATAACACAGCAGCAGCATAAAAAATGGTTATTTAGTTGGTCGGGGATCGGATTTTGCGGATGACCACGTGACCGCCTTTGATGTCTTGGCTCCTCGACAAAAATAGATTCCGCCGTTCGCATCTCGTCCTTCGTCAAGCAGAGCTAAATAGCTAGCTGTACTTGGAAATAGACTGGTCAACATCGAGCACGCGACACATACAAGCTTTGTGCCGCACACCCCGCCGGCAGCTAGCGGTCTCTACAAAAATCAAAGCTACATGAGTCATGTAGATAACAGGGGAGGGGGGAACCGCTGCTGTGCTGTGTGTGACAGCAGCAGCGGCTGGCATCGACAAACGAACACAGAAAAGCTTACACTCGTACAGCGGGTGCGCTTGCGGCCGAGGATACTGCGCGCTTGAGACGAAAAGAGGTAGTCGACTCGAAACTCCCCAGCGGTCTACGTCGTGCCCCCGCTTTGCCCTCTTGGGCGAGTGCTACTGCTGTACAGTAGCCGTCTGCGCCGCGTCGTAGTCGACATCAGGACATTTCTCCGACACAGCGTCGCAACTTGCTCGTGATAGTCTACGTACAATCGTGCCGCATTTTCTCACCTTGCTGTTATGCATGTGTCTGCCGGTCCCTTTGCGGTATTGCTACATGCCTAAGGGAAGGAGACAGACAGAGCAACGCCTGGGCTGAGACTCTACATCCAGGGACACAGGCAACCGTCCCGTTCACTGCACGTTTGTCGAGCTCGGTACCTGATGCCAAGATTATGCGCCGAAGGACCCGCACAGCGGTAGCGTCGGGCCTTACCATCATCACGTTTTATTTGCGGCTTGTCTGTCTCTGTTATCTCTCTCTCACCTCTCTCATCTCGCGCTGCTTCTGGCGGCATCAGGGACACGTCCTGCACCTGCTGCGACGGCGAGGGGCCCCTCGGCGTCCGCTCTCGCTGGATGGTCGAGAATATTGCCACTAATCCGGCAAGCGCCATCGCAAACATCAGCACGCCCGCGACGCCGGCAGAAACCCTCCAAGTGCTTCGGAAACTGGGGGACGCGCCTCCGGATTGTGCTGATGCCCCTGACTGCTGCCTGCTTCTCCTCTTCGAGTTGCTCGTCTCTCCAAGCAGGGCGCGCCCCGAGCCCTGCCTATTCACATCATTCCAGTCCCCCATGGGGCCTGCTGCCACTCCTTGTAGCAACGGGGATCCTTCGTGTGTGCTGCTGTGCATCGGTTGTCAAACCCAGCGCAAAATCAATCACCCGCCCGCACACCACACCAGGCAGCAGCAGCGCGGCAGCGGCACACCTGGCTCCCAGCAATCCCGCGTACTTCTTCCCAGGCTCTTGGCGGCGCGTGCTTTGCTTTGGTCTACGTCCGGTAGGGTTGTGCGACAGCAAAAGAGAACGCGTTCTGTCGTTGTTACGGTTGTTGGGGTGTACCGCACCTGCGCTGCCTGTCTGTCAGGCCGTGTTGGTGTGTTGTGAAAGCGTGATCGACGTCCTGCGATCTACGTGATCTCCGAAATTTCCCGTTTCTTGTGGTGCTTCGCCGAAACTTCCCGGAACGTTCCCCAGATTACTGGATGGAGGTTGGCCCTCGAACAGACTCTTTTTTTGTAACAAGTGGTCCCTAAATAGTCTAGGGGGTACTCTACCTGTCCTTTTTCTAGCTGCAGGGTCGTCGATCACGGCTAGGATCGGAAGCGTGAGGCGACCTGAACCCTCTTACGATATGTTGTCTAGTCTACAAGCATGTGTAGTAGACCATGGAGGACAACCAGGTACCTCGCGTTGTCGTCATCAGTCAGTCGCCGTCGCCTTTTTCGAAGTACAGTAGTATGCATCCCTGCAGGAGAGACATGATGCGCTGGACCGTAGCTACGTCAGCGCGTCGCACGCAAGGCATACCAACCTGTGGTTGCCAGGTTGTGCGCTCCATCTGTACACATCGAGGGTCCAGCAGGCTACTGTAAAGTACTGATGTGGACACCTAGTGCATGGTTACATGCGGGATGATATGGTATGCGTGCCCTCCCTCCGCTACGCACGACGAGGTGTTGCCATTGCTCTCGCAACCTATTATCTATATATAGACACCCCCAACTTAATGACTGCATAAATTAAGGGAAATACTTCGCGCGTGTTGGCTAGTCTACATCCTCTAGACTGTGTAGCAGCAATGATCATGGCTATTTACCGCCGCACATGGATTCATTCAAAACAACATGACAACAGAGGCATGTATCCTCCTGCGTGCTTGGAACGCTGCACTCTGATACGAAGGCGCGGGGCGGCTCCAGTACCTACAGAAGAAGAGCGTTTCCTCGCGTGTCGCAAGTGCAGCCACAAGAAAAATATATCTTGCCGATACCATCGCGGAAAGCCGTCATCTTTTTTTTTTCGTGTTGCTATGGTCCGTTCGGGCAAATATTCACAATCTTGTTTTTCGCGATATCTTTCGAAAAAAAACGATTTGGAAAGTGAAACAACTCTGGGCGTGACCGCGGCGTCGAGCTTCGTCGATATCCGATGAGTTTTTTGGTGATTGGGTGAAATGCGACCCACGTTTTTGACCAAAATGACCCACGAAGCCCCCACCCCCCCACCCCCTCATGACCCCACGGAGCCCCCAAAGTACACCACGAGCCCCCCTCAACCCCTCCCTTCTACACGTAAATGCCTTCAGAACATCAGTTAAACCGTTGTCAATCCATAATTACATTATTTACACGTTACATATGTAGACTACATACATACAATACCGCCGTTAAACTACTTTCTACTCAACCCCTGGCTGGTGAAGTAGCTGCAAACAAAGCATGCAGCAATCACATCCGTTCTCTCTAAGCAAGTCCGATACCAAGAGAGACAGCTATAGCGTTGAGTTGGTGACCATGACGAACGCCTCTACCGCGCCTAAACGCGAGAAACCAACACTACAACACACCGCGACATATAGATACGTACCCTCCCCACTCACGCCTGAGCGTGCCCGCCCAACCATTTCCTCAAAAAATTCATCGTGTTGCGCAAAATCCACAGCCGTAGCTGCTCCTTCCGGGAGGCTCTCTTGCTCGTCCACGTGTTGAAGGCTTCCCTGGTCGCTGCCATCGACTTCTTGCGCACTTCCTGCGCAGCCGCAAGCGCCTTCGCCTCGGCTGCCTTCTTCTGCTCCGGCGTCTTCCCCGCCCCCCTCGCCTGAATCACGGCATCTCCCCTGGCGGTGGCTTCTCGGTGCTTCCCCCACTCCTTGAGATCGCGGTACTCGAGGTAGTCCTCCAGGCCCTCGTCGTAGGCTTCGATGTACAGCCACGTCACCCTGCTCCATGCGCGGATAAACCGTGCGGGTACGCCGCTCAACGCGCCGGGCAAGACCTGGAGCATGTGGCGAAGGGAATACTCGCAGTGGAGGCGGAGGAGGTGCTTGATGTACCCCCAGTATCGCTCGATTGCGTTGAGCTCTGGGTGGTACTTCGGCAAGAAGATGCACAGGTGCCCGTGTGCCTTGAAGAGCTTCTCAACCATGTTGAGCTCCTCCCTGAACGCCTTGAGCTCAGACAGAACGCGCACGACGCAGCAGCGACGCCTCTTGCCTGCTTCACCAGCTGCCCCGCTCCCACCCGAGTCCCCGTCCTCTCCGCCGTCCTCCTCTCCCTGCCCCGTGTTGTCCACCACCTGCTGCCGCCCCTCTCCACCGCGGTTGAAGGCGGTAATGGCTTGCCTTGTTGCCGCCTTTTCCGCCCTGCACGCGCTGCACTCGTGAACGCGTAGGGTTGGCTCGCCTTCCCACAGCCCCATCTCCATGAGCAGCTGCTTTCCTCCTTTCGGCAGGCCGATGAGAACGGCGGTGGGGCCAGTCGTCGTCGTGGTCGTTGGTGTGCATGGGAGAAATATTGGCGCCTTCATGGTCGGAAGAGGGAGGAGGGTCGTTGCCTACAGCAGGGTCCGCAGGGGGCGAAGGGGCCTTCCGAATCGTGCCGTCGGCGTTCCTTGGCAGCTTGCGCTTACCCTTTGGGCGACCCATGTGCCCGGAGCGCGTGTGCGTCTTTCGTTGCGTGCGTAAAGGGTGTGTGTGTGTGTGTCCTCTGGTGTGTGTGTGGCGGGAAAAAATTCCCCGAGGGCGTGGGAAACCACCCGAAATATCTACGAAACCCGAGTTTTTTTTTGAAATCGGAAAAATCTCATCGGTGGGAAATCACGAGAGGAATCGATTGCAGCACTTTATTTTTGAATCGTACGGTTGGATTGTCCCCAAGAAACTAAGCAAAATACCCTCCAACATCCGGTTTTTTGCCCGTAACTCCGTTATTTTTTGTCAAATTGGAAATCGGAAAAAAATCATCGGTGGCAAATCACGAGAGCTGTCCAAATCCGGTCTCAGATTTTGTGTCTGCAAAAAACACCGCCCTTCAGAAAGTAAGCAAGATTTCTTGAATATCTGAACATATCGAGCGAAGGACGAAAAAAAAAAAACATCTCCGTACAAAGATAGATGCGCCTTGAAACGTCGATTTACGCGGTATTTTCAGATTTCGGAATAAGTACCCCCACCCCGAGAAAAGTGCACCTTTGTGCAGGGGAAAATATTGTGAATATTTGCCCGAACGGACCACATGGACCTCACCTTTCATTTAAGTCTAAGTTTACTCAATTTAGTGGAGGACTTCGTTCTACACAGCATTCTGCGCCAGGTGATGTGTGCTTTTTTTTTTTTGGTGCTGTGTGGTGGCTCCGGCTAAGCCAGGTCATGATACTAACCTACATAATAGCATTTTTCCGAAAACGCGTAGGCCACTATGTGGTCTAGTATTTTATTGCTCGCCATAGACTTAGTACAAGGCAAGTCCGAACCTTGGGTCGTGCATTTTGTTTTTTCATCCGCTTTTTTCCTTTTTTCTATTTCGCCCCCTTCGATTTTCGTCCAAATGGGGGCAAAAATCGCGTCTGTATGTCAGATAGAGACTAAATCGACCCGGATGACAACAAAAATTTGCATGGTGTCTATTCTAGGGGTGCTTGCCACGATGATGAATAAAAAAAGGGCAAAAAACACTTGAAGTCTCTCTGCGTGGCGCCCAAAGTAGGCCGTTTTTGGCCCAAAAACAGGCAAAAATACACGGGGATTTCTTGTTTTTGTCCCCGGGCATGCATGTTTTTTTAAATATTGTTTCCGGAAATGCTTTGTATTACTACCATAACGATACTTGCCTAAGGAAAAGTTCTGGAAATCATTAGAACGTGCGCATTTGTGTTTTACCGGTATTATTTTCCCCTGACAAATAAGTGAAGAATACTACGCTGGCACCATGTCATCACCACATTCATTTTTTTTGTTTTTTGTTGTTTCATCGTTTGGGTCGTGTTATAAGCTAACGTTCGATACCTCTCTGTCGCCACAAATCGTCAAGACACCCGAGAACGGCCTCTCAGAGCCTGGGCTCCGTTAAGTGGTTTACTCTATATATATACCTATGGCAAGACTCTTAGAGACGATCACACGTACGTGAACCCGGTAACTTCCCTTCAGCACCAGGCCGTCGTCAGTGTGTGGACTAGATTTCCACACCCATAAGATGCACACATGGCCTCGTCGATCAAGCCCTAGCTAGAGGGATCTACCGTATTCGAAACATTATCACCACGCGTTCCGAGAGGCCTCGATAGATAGGTGCAAGCACACCGCACGACGTTTGTTTTTTGTATCCTACATGAACGTGTGCACATACATATGTTTTGTTCTGGTGGATCCTTTGCGAAGTGTTGTCCGCGCGATTCGTTATCGACAATGCGCACGGTTGGCGTACCCCGGGGAACATCTCCGCACATGCAGAAAAGATCAAATATCATCAGCACCCACCCGCATACGATCCTTTGCTTGACTTGACGATAGGGTGTGAACTCTGGGACCGAAACCCACAGGCTACCGCAAAGTCTAATATAAACAACCCCTCAGCCCTGCACACACACCCTCCCCCGGTGTTTGTAATCGGGGTTGGGTTTTCGTCGCTTGGCAACGACGTTGTAAAGCAAGCCAATTCACTTCGTGAACTCGGCAACCAGGTTACCGTTTTTTTTTTTTTTGCCTCCGTTTTTTTTTTTGGCGGTAACCATAATGGTGGCCGAGTAGATCATGTTGTGCGGGGTGGAGAACCCTCGCTCCGCGCAAGGGGGATGATCGCACCACGTTGTGTTAAAATGGTCAAGCACCCTCGAGGCAGTTACACAGTGCTTACAACTGTCTCTGGAAGTGAAAGCACCAGAAAATAAATTAAGTCATACGCAGAAGTCATCCGTACGCAAGGAAGTAGTAAGCACAAGATGCCGAACACCCTTAAGAGGATGCAGCGCACCCTTCGTGCGACTCGCCGAATATCTCACGGCGCTTCGCGCTTGGTGATGTGAGAGCCTGGTCCGGTGAGAACCCGGCGTGCTCTGTCCCGGCTTTGTAGGGATGCGATGTCAATGGTCTAATGACTACGGCATGCACGACTATGAGTACACCCCCCCCCCCCCCCCCCCCCAGCCCTGCACCGCAGTTTTTGAGCTCCATCTATGCCACAAGAGCCAAACCCTACCCTCGGATGTAGCCGCCGCTCGTTTCGTTAACATTTTTGAATGAAGAAAGCTAGGTCCCGTGGAAGGGTGTGTGCCATACAGTATGCATACATACCTAGCGACCCTTTAACCCTTACGTGACTACAGGGCGATTCAGCTCCGTTCTCAGCTTCGGTCACTTTACGTGCCGATTGATCGCCGTTGTGCCTCGGCTAAGAGCAAAAAACATACATAGTCTAGAGACCAGCAGGGAGATGCAGGAAGCCTACCCCCAAAGCACGCTTATCAGCAAAGCACGCAGGACGCACATAGTACAATACTGTTCACCCATGCCTGATCTTTCTGACGTGGGGCAGATATCCTTTCCAGACTCAATCTACTGCCTACCGGCACTGTTGGATTCATACGAAAAGTACCACCGGAGGGTACATGCATACAGCAACATGTGATCAACCCGGCGCCACATCCGCGGGGGAGAGCAGAGGAAAGCGCAAACCAGAGCCGATGCTAACGTACTGCCTCGCTCGGTGCTTGATGTTGTTGTGATTGCGGTGCGTGTGGTTCCCAGCATTGGGTGTGAAGGGGGGTTCGTCACCCTTACATATTCCGCGTCCCCATCCCTGTGAGCCCCACACATGGACCCACTGCTGCACCATCCTTGCCGCCGTGATGGGTGTGCACGCATACTTGGAAGATCTTTGACCGCAGAGAGCCAGATGTGGGGAAAAATACAAAAAAAAAAAACTGACCCAGTCACGTAAGGGTTAAGGCTCGGGATATGCCTCGACGGTGATCATTGTGTCTGTGTATGTTGTTGGAGTAATTGCAGTACAAGAACGACTCTATTCTACTGCATGGGTTAATGCGGTATTGTGAATGCATTGNTGTTGGAGTAATTGCAGTACAAGAACGACTCGATTCTACTGCATGGGTTAATGCGGTATTGTGAATGCATTGTCAAGTCTGTAACCGTCAGGTGAAGACAGCTTGGGCGTCTGTGTGGATAATAAGATCACTCTGTGTGTTTGCCTACCTAACCTCGCATCACATGCCAGCTACCTTGTAGCCACAGCTAAAGGGATAGCTGTACAGCAACACCAGTGACAGAGTGTTGTTGCCTCAATACGTTTTGAGCCTCGAGTTGCTCGAGCTAGTACACCAGAGTCACAAGAGTCGGTAAGCATGGCTACCGGCTCGTCAGGCGAGATCCGTAGAGGATTCGCCAAGTTCAGCGGTGACCCAGGCGACTACGTCGGCTGGCGAACCCTGCAGACCTCCTTGTTTATGGAGGACAAGCTGCACAAGGTTCTGTTGGGAGTGGGAAAAGCCCCTTCGGATCCCGGACCTAGTGCTACGCCGGACCAGACTTCGGCATACCAATCTGCCCTGGAAGGATACCAGGACAAAAACGGACAGATCTTTATTATTTACACGGCTGATGCTCGCCACATCTGAAACCGGGGGCTACCAGAGCGCGGCCTCGCAGACTGTGCAGGCATACGCGCCTATCGGGTCTTCCTACAACGGAGACGGTCGTGGAGTCTTCCTCGCCCTGGATCGAAAGTACCAGGCCGCTGGGGTATACCGTACGCAGGAGCTGCACGAGAAGTTCATATCTTTGGCAGTTACTGCGGACCACGACTTTGACCCGGCCAATGTTATTCAAGACATGCGCCGGATCTGCACGGAGCTCGCCGTGTATAACGACACTGTGGCTGACCACCGAAAGACGTTCGCTTTCCTAAAAGCGCTGCCGGACGACCACTACAAAGAGTTCAAGACAGGACTGCTATGCGGCCAAGCTGCTGGGAGCGTCTTGTCTTTCGAGGAGGTCGCCGACCGAGCCACTTCGTTCCACGCGATGCACATTCGTGGTAAAATTGCGTCGAAGAACTTATCCGGAAGCAGCAGCCGTGCGCTGAATACCGTCACACACGGCGGAGCGCGTTCTTTCCGTAAGGGCGGCGGTCATCATGGCCGTGGACGCGCGCAGCGCGGTGGACGAGGACGTGGCAGCTGGAACAACTCGTCGAACCGTAATAACGGGTCGTCGAGGGGAAACAACAGTAACGACCAGAACCATGGCGGCGCAACTTCTGGCAACAGAGCTGGAGGTGCGTCTTCCGACAACCGGTCCTCTGGACGGCCAAACCACTCACAGCAAAGACGCGGGTACGACAGGGACGGCTTATGCAGTTACTGTCATAATTCTACGGAACACACCTGGACGAACTGCCCGCTTCGCGCCTCCAATGCCTCGCGGTTTTCGAACCGTGAACAACAGCAACCACAGCAGCAGGTCAACACGACCGCGGAAGCCACGACACAGGCGTTTGCCTACCTAACCTCGCATCACATGCCAGCTACTTTGTAGCCACAGCTAAAGGAATGGCTGTACAGTAACTGCAGTGACAGTGCCGTTGCCTCAACATATGTCTTTATTGTAAGCATCGACCGCGCTAACCCGCTGACCAATGAAAAGCGTCAGTCTCAGTGCGGTAGAAAACACGAAACACTTATATCTAAATGCCATTAATTAAGTGGGACTCCGTGAGAGGGCCGCATGAGGGAGGCTTAGCTATTCTCCGGATGAAAGACAGAAACGTTAGCAAGAGAAGAAACTGCACGCGTCTACCAATGCTGCAATCTTGCACTCGAGTGCTTTTGGGGGTGTTTTCGCCGTCATCCTCCTTGCTTTCACCACCATCGTTCTCATCATCAACTTGACAACAGCAGTTCTTCTCTGGCCCTGCGTCGTTTGTTGTGGGGAAGGTAATCTGGCTCGAAGCTCTTGCTCTCTTCCACGCCATGATTATCTCCTCGATGGTTGTCTTGGTCTCCGTTTCGTCCTCCCGTTTCCTCTCCTCCTCCTTCATCGCTGCCAAACGAATTCCCCTCATTGTCATCCTGGAAATACATGGGTCCCACGTGTGTCAGGAATTTTGACACGAGCACGAAATTTTGACACGAGACCAGTATTTTGACACGAGAGGTTACGCCGCACTTTTTCATGTCAGAATCACAGGTCAGAATTTTTCGAAAACGTGGTGAAAATATTTTCACCGGAGGTATTTTGACACGAGGCAACCGCAAATTGACACGAGTGCCATCGCACACACACGAAGGCATCAACTCAGTCGGCAAGCTCGCATGTAGCTTCCCGCACACCCACACATATGAACACAACGCTCCCGGGAGTACATCGCGTTAGGGGAACGTCAAGCCACGGTTAGGNCCCGCACACCCACACACGTGAACACAACGCTCCCGGGAGTACATCGCGTTAGGGGAACGTCAAGCCGCGGTTAGGATCGTGTGCGTTCATCGCGGGATCGAGGACAAAACACGCCGAGGTTGTCTGAACTCTGGACTCGAAGCACACGGACGGGTGATAACCACAACAGCAGCTAGTAGTCGGGTGCCCCGCCCGTGAAGGGAGAAGTTACAGCAGTTGTTGGTGGAAGAGACGGTAGCTCTGGGCGCACGTACTAGGGGCGCGAAGCCGCTGGCGGCGGTTGGGATTTGGGGAGTGTAGTTCGCGGAGTGTAGACTAGTTCTCGGTAGTCGAGAGGAAACATGTCTCCTCCAGCTTTGCTACGCCAAACATGGCCATCACGAGGAACATGTCCTCCTCTCCAGCTAGCGCGCACAACACAGCAAGCAGTAGAACCTGCATGCACTCATCATACCGCTCGTATAGGATTCTACCTCGCGCAAGGCGCGCCATCCCCTCGCTCCGTGTCGGGTGCGGTGATGAGGGAGCGCGACCGTTGGGTTTCCCGGCGGTGCAGCGGTGCAGCTGGGGTTAAATATTTTTAAACGTGATGTTGGGTAAACCGGGTAGGCCGAAGCTTGAAGGTTTGTGGAGAAAGGCAGCTCGGCCAGTGAGGGCCGAGATGAGACAGTCTTGTATTATCAGGGAGAGGGGACAGCAGAGAACACTTGTGTCCGAGGACCCGAAGAGAAAAGCAGAACACTCATCCGTCACGCAATTCAGATCACTCATCGAATCTCCGAAGAAACCAAGTAGAAACTCCCTGTTCCTCCGCAATCTACCAATTGCAATCTCCGTAGATCCATGTCCAATATTCAACCATCTTTACTATGCTACGAGTATATCTAACACGTGAGACTGCGCCGCTGCTGGCCTTCGCCAGGTAAGGTGCGGCGGAATATTTTTTCGTGTCAATTTACCAACCGTTACCTTTTTTCGTGTCAATTTACCGTCACTTTTTTTGGTGTCAATCTATCTCAGTTCAAAATTTTCGTGTCAATTTAACGTGGGAACCCTGAAATTTCTATCTACACTACTTGTACTACCGACTTCCCCACCTATTGGCCGTGGTGGGAATTGGTCGATCAGTAGTCCATAACGTTTGAAAACATCGCGAGTTCGTACGGACAGAAAACGAGCCAGCTCGAAGGTAAACCGTCTCCGAATCCTATTGGTATTAAAAGCCTTCAGGCGAAGCAAGGCTGTTTCGTCGTCGAAATTCCACCAGCAAAAGGCCTCATATGCCAAGTGGTTGGCGATAGCTACGACAAATAAGTCGATTTGCGCCTTTGCCAAGACCACCATCATACGATGAAAAGGATGGTAGATTTAGACGGGTTGAAAGTCTACGCATGGTGATTTTCTTTACTTGCTTGCAGCTCGATCTTCGCGGGAGGATCCTGGCGTTTAGGTTGACTTGTCGATACTTCGACTGGCGGATGCGCTGACGATTGTTACATCAACAAGATTGGACTTGGTGCAGAGTTTCCTCTTCTTTTTCTATCCATCTCCTGCTGCGTGTAATCCTGGGGGGATCACCAAATCCATGTTGTAGAACCCTTTTCCCCAACCAGTGTCTGTGGTAAATGGGCAAGAGTCTTCCACAGTGATTGGCATGTGGCACTCACGTAATATGTTCAACATTACGCGAACCATGCTGTTGTGCAGGAAGGTTGATGCACCGATCTTCGTGCAGACCAGGGAGTGGGGTCGGGTCAACCGTTTCCTGCACGGTGACAATGCACCCGCACCGCAAAGTCTAACTGTGTCGCAGTCAGTTCGGCCTTCACTCCCCAGTACACGAACGACCGATTGATTCCCGATAAAGGTCAGGCAGGTAGCATTCGTTCATCTGCTCAAAGCCCTTGCGTCGTCAGCCACGATAAAAACCCCTTGCCTTTTGCTCCCTCCAAGCGAATCAACGCCCTTCTCCTTGACGTTTCCTAGGATCCTACTTTCTTCAAGTCTGTCTCCACCACGTGACGAACTGCTGCATGAAGAGAAGAGGTTTCGAAAGGACGGCTTGAGCTCCAAAGAACTGGTTGTAGTGCTGGCCATTTTCATTTCGGCCGCATGACGGTGTTAGCCGTTCCTCGCCAGGGTTGTCGCCTACCCTTTTTCTCTTGACTACCTTCCTAGCCTCCATGAAACAAACTCCTTGAAGAGTGGGAGTCAAATCATCAGATGTGACCAGTTTAGTCCATGATTGACCAAAGGCTTTTTCAAGCTTGTCCTTGATGAGGATCTCTACATAGATAGCTTCTCGAGATATTAGAGCCAATCTTGTTGGTAGCTGTGCAAGTCGAGGCAGACGTTGTTCAATAGTGGATCCTGTCGATGCTTCCACTGATTTGTAGAACAACAGCAGTGCTTGACATGCTCCAAATAACGGCTGATTCCCCAACGAGGACGTTGCTCGTGATCCCTAGTCCCCCTTCAACGTGTGTTGTTGTCTACCATATAGTCTACATTCTGACAGTCCCCCCATTATTCGTGGTGAGAAGTGTACAGTTGGCGCCCGCAGTTGAGAAACGTTTATTTCAGGTCCAACCTCGAATTCTTATTGTAGGCAATTAACTCAGCATATGTCGTTCAGTTTCTTGTTTCAAGTTTCTAATTTTTTCGTGCAGCCCAATCCTGCTGAACTTCTTGAATCGGCAATTTCATATTTCTCTGCTTGCATACTACACAACCTTCCAAATACACAAATGATTTGCACTGCTTTCCTCGACCCCCGAACTCAACCCCGATTCTCACTACCGACGGCTGCACGTAAGGCCACTCCCTAGAAGCGAAATGTTCTGCAGTCTCTCCTCCACAGACTTATTCTTGGAGTCAGACCGCCGCCGCTTAGACAGCGAGTGCCTCGTAGCCCACTTTTGCGCGAACCGGAAGGACGGCCGGAATGCCTTTGCTCGTGGATCTTGCGGGTAACTTTCCATGGTAAGCTTTTTGAAAGTGACCGTGATCCACCTTGTCGACACCCGCAGCTTCCTCTTGCGTCGTGCCAGCAACATCTTGTGCAGCTCCTTCTCCGCGTCAGGGAACCACAGCCGCCGTCGAGTGCATGTCGCCATCAGACTACTCCGCACCTTGTCAGCTGCCTGCTGCACGAGAGAGTCTTCATCCTTCTGCCATTTGCTGATATTGCTGGCCGAGATCCCTGACTTATGTTCCAAGTAAAAGAGAGGGGTCATACCGAAGTGCGCACGAACCTCCGTTGACCGCGACTCTAGATCTCGCAGCTCCTGAATAACACCGACCTTCTCGCGCGAGGTGTACCGTCTCCTCGAGGCTGCTCCACACGTTTTCTTTGGTGGCGACTCCGATTGTGAAAAGCCGTCGTTCACGAGGTTGTTGTTCCGCTCGGCTCCAGGTCGTAAAGGCTGCAGCACAAACGTCACGGATCCTGGCGGACATGTCGCGCCGCATCCGCGACTCTCTCCATGGTGAAACGCAACGTGACAGCAACGTCCTGACGGTGTCCCACCCCAAGGGAGGAGAGATGATGCCTCCGCCCCCTTCCTGTTCGTTGAACACCACCGTTGAAGTGAGATCTTCGCTTCACGCTCGTGGTCAGTTTTGATGTGCACCCCAAGGCCCTGGGTGTTGAAGAAACGACGGTTGCACTTCGTACAAGGCACTGTCGGTTGAGGCGGTGGAGGCGCGGTGAAATTGATGTTCGTGATCTCCTCCGTGCTGCCATCCCCACGCGTACGCACCACCTGCACAGAAGTGGGGGGGGGAGGGCATCGGAGGGCGGTGGTATTGTTCATTCCTGCTTGAGTTTATTATTTGTTATTTGAAAGATAGCAACATAACCAACAAAGAGTGCTGCCGCGGGTAAGTCCAGCACAGCAGCATGTAAGAAGACGCATGTCGGAAAGGGTTGACAAAAAAAGAGGCGAACCTGGTAGGGAGGCACGCTAGCGACTTACTGCTACAGACATGTTCTTGCCAATGAGTACGTGCACTTTTCGCGCAAAAGGGGCTCAAAAATATTTTTTATGCGGCATTTCTAATAATATTAATAAGTGTTGGGATCATTCACGTGAATCACAGCAGCACCGGTATGACGCAAATCGAAGACAAAGAATAGCAGCAGAACTCACGCAAACCGAAAGTGACACTCACAACACAGAGCATTCGATGCCAACAATACATGTAGACGCAAATAAATGTGTATTTTGGAAAGCAAAAGAAAACAAAAAAACATAAGAAAAAAGAAACTGGTCTGTCCGCATCTCGGTGGCGCTGAAGATATTTTCAAGTATCGCGCGAGATCCTCTCGTCGGCACACACAACCATATTCTACGCACCGGTTTGCCACTGCCTTTAGCGAAGGCATTGATGATGTTGTGGGTCCCTGCCGGCGGGTCGGATGCTGCCCTCTCCTTTTTCTTGGCTGATGATGTTGTTGAAGACGATGATGCCTTTCGCTTCTGCCCTACGAACTAACTGCTGTGCGCTTGAACCAGCAGCCGATTCAGGAGGAGTTGGCACCGGGGTCTTTCTCTTGAGGTGGGACGCCACATGTTCGTTGACATGTTGCACATGCTCCTCCAAAGTAAGGATATCGGAAGACCTCAAACTCCGCAGCTCTTCAATGCCTTTCCACAAATCGTGAGGCAGAGGCTCGTTGTTTAGAACGTGCTTCTCTTGATGTCCCCGAGCTGGCTCGTCGACAGTTCTTGTTGATCTCTGAGGGTGACCAGCTTGGTCAAGCCCTCACGAGAGCTGGCGAAGAGAACCATCAAAGCCGTGTATAGCACACAGCATGTCGTGGTTCGCAGCCTGTCTGGTGTGCTGTGCCAAAGCTTAAATGTAGCGCCAGCAGAGAGCGTGGCAGAGCCCGCAGGGGGGCGGAGGGGGCGCCGCCAAAAATAACACTCCCCCCTCGCCGCCCCCCCCGGTGTTTGCCATCGGGGTTGGGTTTTCGTCGCTTGTGAGACATTTCTTATTGTGTGACCCAGATTGAGCAATGTTTCTTAACCCTATTTCATTTTTTTTCGTGAAAAAGTGAGCCTCAATTTCTTTTAAAAACATTTCGTAATAACTGCGGCGCCAACTGCTGTAATAAACGTTCAGTGTAGAATCTAGAGTACTACACTTTTCAGTGCATGTTTTCGTACAACTGCAACCATCAAGGAAGGACACCAACAACACAGCCTCGGGGCGGTCGTACAACATATGAGCATGTGTGTGAAATGAATGTTTGTACATGCAGCACAGCAGTTCTGCTGGGTAAGCGCCCTATCTGTCTATATCTCTCGACCGGCTCGGAGGGACCACGGCCATCACTTGATCACTTGCGTTATGAAAGCTGCTGCCGTTTTCTTTCAGCTCACCCGCCACTCCCATGTCTTCCTCCCAGACTATACAAAATCAATCAAACCATCACTGACGCTACTACCGCAGTTTACATACATTCTACACAAGCAGAAAATACACACGCAAACAAACGTCGATTCCGCCGCGTCGGTTTCATCAGTCCGCAGTCAGCGTGTTGGTATTGTGGAACTCCATCAGTTCCTGCCAGTGAGGCCCCTCGCCCCCCCGGTGTGCATGTGCGATGCTCCAGGTGTGTTGTTGTGTCGTTTGTGTCTACACTGTGTACCCACAACTGCCTCACACACAAGAACATAGTTGCACATCGAAGGATTCTCACACAGCCGCTTCCGGAGAACCATGACCTTGCCGACGGTTGCCGCACTGATGAAGCAGAGGTCTGTCCAGGTGGTCCAGGCGAGAGGGTTGAGGGCGGGGGCGGAGCTGACGCGGCTGGCCAAGTGGGGGCTCCCTGTTGGAGCAGCGGGTGAGCCCTCTTGGATGTACAGCAGTAGTACATGGTACCATTTGCGTTCCTGTGTACCAGGTATTGCTCTGGTTCTGTCGCGGCTGGCTATGTCGGTGTCGGTGCGTTGGTAGTCCCTCTCCACCCCGTCCTTCCCTTGAACTGCTTCGTGTGTACAAGCACCGCGCCGTTTCTCTCCGTTCTCTCTCTGGCATGTAGTCTATGTACGTAACTTTACGATACAGCAAACAGGGTATGCATATGTTGGTGCCCTGATTCGGACGAGCGGGTTGTTGCTTGTTGGGTCTACGAGAGGGAGGAAACTTCCCGCTCTCATTCGCTCTTGTGTTTCCGCAAGCACTCACTACACAGCAGTTTCCAGGCAGAAGATCAGCAATCAGTGTCGTTGTTTGAGACAACGATATGTTTCAGCAGTCCTACGTACAATGCATACGCTCGGGGGAAAGCGGGGGCATCTTATTGCACATGCCTGCAGATGTGTACTACTTGTACTACCTATGTAAGTGTACTGCCGGATCTACGATAGCCTAGTGTATGGAATCGAAGCGAGGCAAGTTTCGCCAGGCAAGACAACTGTGCACGGAAATGGTGTGCGTACGATTTGGGTACTTGTGTCCTCGCAGCGGGGACATGCCTTCTAAAACGACCAGAATGCCGTGCACCGCCGTGTTCCCAAATGCCTCAAAAACAGGCACCAGCACACAGCAGCTCCAGCAGCACCAGTCCTACGTACTTTGTGCGCGACATGATAATGATTCCACGCGTGTGCAGGTGGCCCAATTCCGACATTAATATTGGAAATCGATTATGTTGTTTTTTTGTTTGTTTCTCTCCCATCATTGGACTCTGCCGTCTGCCCCTCTGGCCCCTATCCTCCACTTCTACTGGCTAGACGACCCAACCGGGGTCACATAGGAGGGGGGGGTTGGACCCCCCTCCTGCGGTTCATGCCTGAGGTATTTTTATCGCGAGAAGGGTACAGCAATCCCTTCCCTCGCGACTTACGAAGTCGATTATGGTTTACTAACAAACGAGCTTTGCAGCGCGTCGCTTTCATCCTAGACCAGGATTTATTTAGTGAGAAAAAAACTCTCCCTGCCGGGACTCGAACCCATGACCTGGCCCTTAGCAGGCTGCGAGGCTACCGACTAGGCCACCGGGGCACTATGTATTCCGAGTTGGCTCTACTCGAGTGCACGAGTGTGTTTCTTTGTCGCGTCGAAATCAACTCACCTACTTCCTGTACCACAGCAGTGTACTTGGGAAGCAGAACACATCCAGAAGACGCGGTGGAGACACGAACGAATGTGCCCGTCGCAAGGAGTCAAACCATGACCATGACAGCCACAGTGCATCCCCGACAGCGAACGACACTGTACGTAATTCCCGACGACGGGCATGATTAAGCGGGCCCAAAGGTCTTCATCCAGCACCGACACGCCGTGAACTGAACTGCCACCGCCTTCGGCCCACCCGTCCGCCCCTTTCCTCCCTGTCCTCGCCCGGATAGTGTGGTTGACTAAACACGACCAGGGAGCCATGTGGGAGTGAAGGCTCCGGTCTGACGTAGAAAGCTGAAAACGCGGCCGTTGACACAAGTATGTTTTCATGTCGAAGAATCTTTCTCTCTCTCTCTCTCTCTCTCTCTCTCTCTCTCTCTCTCTCTCTCTCTCTCTCTCT